CTCCCTTTTTGCATGCCCTGACTCCTCCCCCTCCATGCCTTTGGCTCCTCCCACCCCTGGTATGTGAAATGTTTCCTGTCTAACTTTGGAATTTGTTTTAAAATGAGAATGTAATATTTTATTATTGCAAAAGACATGTTTTAGATGTTTAACTGTAGTTGTTAAAAATGTATGAATGTAGCCAAAAGTGGTTATCATATTGAAGTGGATATACAGTTATCTTTCCAAAAAAAAAAAAAAAAAAAAAATTTTGGAGTGTAGCTGTAGAATGGTCAAAGCAAATGGAAAAGCAGCTGGAAGCCTTTTGTTATAATTACGCAAAATGAGTGCAGCTACTACCTAATGACAGACAGATGATTGCTTGCCAACAATGAATGCTGTTAGCCATAATGTGTCTTTTACCTTTGGGTTTCTCCTGCACCAACAAGTAGGCGACACTCTTCTCAGGGCCAACCACAAAGGCTACATCACCTGAGTCATCGGGTGTGACCATTTTCAGCACTAGGCTGTGTTCCCTCCCTCGGCAGCTGATTTGATTCAAGTCATTGTTTTGAAGGTGATTGGAGCCGAGCCACCACTCAACATTCGTAACCCCTGTATGAGACACCTCACACTGGAAGATAGCATCCTCGCCCGTTATCACAGTCACATCCTTTAATTCTCTTGTGATTTTTACACATTCTGGGAATGGATGGAAGGAACGTCATGAAAGGGACGATTGAGGATCTTCCGAAAAGTCAAAAGAGGTAAATATCCCACTACTGACTATCTACTAGAAGTGACTTAGAATGTGAGAGGATGTATTAGTCCTCCAAACAGTGTAGTTTTTAATGAAAGCTTGGGATTTTGTTGTGACATTAAAGTTAAATCCCAGAATTGAGGAGAGCATCATGCGATCTTAGTTCACAGATATTTGCTTTACATACTACTTGGATCATGCCTTAGTGGCAATCTAAAACATAAAAGCTACTCAATGTATTCATTATTTGAAATGCTAATACTAATATGTACTTTTGCTTCATACTCCCGTCCTCTAAAGAAGAATCAAGATTGTTACCTTTGACAGTCAATGTAGCTTTGCTTTGTTTGTCTCCTGCTTCACATATGTACTCGCCACCATCATCCACTGATAGCTTATGGATTTCCAAGGTTTGGATTGTGCCATCCCTCTTTATGGAATACTTCTTTCCATCAGATAGGACCTGAGTACCCTTCTTCCAGGTCACACTGGCATCAGGTATTGAAGTTTCACAACATAATGAGGCACTGCCTCCCTCTGTGACTTCCTGGCTTGTTAACTCCTTCACAAATGACAGCACAGGGACTGCTGTTGGGAAACAGCAATACACAGAACACATTCTAAGATACGTGCAAACCCCAAACCTGCATATTAGAAGATGGCAACAAAGAGATGGCAACAAATTGTCTTAGTAGTTTCTAAATGCATCCAGGGACAAGATAAGCCTAACCTTGGAATGCTTGAATCAGAAATCATGAAACTTTTTGCAGTACTTCTATTATAGATAAAATTAATCACTGATGAGAAAAAAGGAACATAGAATAGTCAACCTTCTGAATGTAATATCCAAACAAATAAAGCTCCGCATACTACCAAGCAATGGACAAGAAATATTTGGCAAGCGAAGACAAAACAGATAACATACATGCATGAAATGTTGTGCTTTCATTGTGGTGTATATAAAGAGGCTGGTCACATGTCATTTTTTTGCAATATGATGCATTAAAGCATGCATCAACGAGTAATAAATGCAAGTTATATTACATATGTGGAATGTTTTGAATATTTATGGATATAGAATGATCATACACACACAAATACTAAACACATGCAGTAAACAGTGCATGTGTTCGAAACTCACTGAGAAATAAATGAAGGTGTGAAATAAAACAAACTACTATTTAGAAATCAAAAATTTCTTTAGTTTTACCTCTGACTGTAAGACAAGCAAAAGAAGTGTGTGCACCCACATGGAAGGACACTGTGCCCGAGTCTTTCTGGGTGACACTTCTTAGTGTAAGCGTGTGCCTTTTGCCGTCCATTCCGATTTCATTCATCTCATTGTTCTGTAGTGGAACATCTTGTAGCGTCCACTGAACAATGAGTGCATTGTCATGAGAGACAAGGCATTCGAAATGAACGTCCTCGCCTTCATTGACAATGCAGCTCTTCAAGCCAGTTAAGATCGTGATTTCAGGTTCTGAAAGCAAAATCAGGTTTCATTTTGTCAGAATTAGTCAACAGATCAAAAAATAGATAAACTTCAACAGTATCAATTTAACATCCACTATAAGCTAAGCTTTTCAAGAAAATGCACAGCAGTTGTCAGACAGAAATAGCAACCCTGGTATAAAAATAAATGTTAAACTACAAGGGTAAGGTTTATAATGTTATGTCAAGTGCAAAAAGCTCTTGTACTTAAATAATCTAGCAAAATGAAATGGGAGTGCATTGGAGAAAGGTTGTGCAAGTTTTAATGAAATTTAAAGTGCAAAACCACGTGCACAGAGAAGGTGCTGAAGGTGATCTGGGATCAAGTACAAGCATACCATAAGAGAGGATGATGGCATAATACTTAGGATGGTATGGAGTAGATGCGTGATCATCAAAAGAGGATGATCAGGTAAAGTTAGGAGGGATGAGGACTTTTACAAGTTGATTCATACCCTTCACAGTGAGTTTGGCAGATGTCCGATCATGTTCTGTTTCACAGCAGTACTCTCCAGCGTCTCCTTCTTGCAGCTTGTAAATGATAAGCTCAGCAACAGCCCCATCTTGCTTCAGCTGATATTTGTGGCTTGCTTCTATTACACTCTTGTCTTTCCTCCAGATGACTTTGGCTCCAGCTTTGTCAAGTTCACATCGAAACACTGCATTTTCCCCAGCTTCACTTTCCAAATCTTTTAGAGATGATTTGAAAAGAACTGGCAGTGCTGCAAAAGGTGAGTAAACAAGTGTTTCAAGGTCATCATGAAGAAACTGCTTCAAATGATACAGGAAAGAAAGACGGTTCAATCCAAGCCTACCCTTAACTTTCAGATATGCGATGCTTTGGTGTTCTCCAGTGTCACAAATATAGTCACCAGAGTCCTCATGTTCAAGGTCATGTATGACCAGTTGGGCACGGTGGCCATCTTGCTTTAATTCATATTTAGCACTGGGGCATAGGCCAATTTCACCCTTGCGCCACTCAACAGGAATGTCTGCTTTGGAAAGCTCACACTGGAAGCTGATGCTCTCTCCCTCAACAGCTGCCTGGTTCTTTAGTGCTTGTGTGAAAATGGCTGGAAGCGCTGCCAATGCAAAGAGTGGTATAAGATGCAAGAGATTAAAGATTTTCCAGACAAGTAAGACCCTAAAGGCAACAGTTCAAACAAATATTATAGTACACCAACAGGATACAATAAAATTTCTTTCTTTAGATTTATCTTCATAATAAGCTGTGGAAGAATTTATACTTCACAAACACAGGATAAATGTGGCAATGCAGTTCAAAGATGGATTAGAATAATGGAAAAATTCAAGAAGTAGTTTTTCTTCTCCTACCATTAACCTTGACATTGGCTGTGGTAATGCTGTCTCCGCAATCACAAGCATAGTCTCCAGCATCTTCAGGTTTGACATCAGTGATCATCAGCTCAACAGTAGAGCCAACTTGCCTGATGAGGTACTTTCCTCCAGAATGGATCACCTGCATCCCTTTCCTCCAAACAACAGGAACTCCACGTTTGGAGAGCTCACACTGGAAGATGATGCTTTCTCCTTCAATAGCTGTCTGTTTTTTTAGCTCTTGTGTGAAGGTGGCTGGAAGAGCTGACAATTCAAAGAGTGGTATGAGATGCCAGAGATTTAGTTCCGTACATACAGATGACGTAAATAAATATTTTTCAGAGAAGTAAGATCAAGATGATACAAATGCAAACAATGGTTACAATTAAGTCTTTTTTTGGCCTTAACTTCATATTAAACTGGAGAATCATTTGCACTTCACAACCAAGGAATACATGTGACAATGCATTTCAAAGATGGATTAGAATGATGGAAAAATTCATGAAGATGTTGGTCTTCTCCTACCGTTAACCTTGACGTTGGCAGTTGTCATGCTGTCTCCGCAACCACAAACATAATCTCCAGCATCTTCAGGTTTAACATCAGTGATCTTCATCTCAACAGTAGAGCCAACTTGCTTGATGAAGTACTTTCCTCCAGAATGGATCACCTGTGTTCCTTTCCTCCAAATCACAGGAACTTCGGGTTTCGAGACTTCACAGCGCAAAGTGACACTATCTCCTTCCTGAATTTCTTGATTCTGTAGCTCACGTTTGAAGACCACTGGTAATGCTGAGGAATCAGGCAAAGTTGTTGAACCAGGAACAGGATCTTGTGAGATTAAGTTTACACTTTGCATCAAAAACATTCTTTCCACTGATAGATGTAAAACATTCTTCTACAATGGCTTAACTTATATTTTTACCACCTTCTAAGATGTTTAACCAAAACAACCACCATGATACAAATGGCAAAACTATAAACTAGACAAATAACTTGGTACACTAGAATAGCCAATATACAGCACTATACACTACCCTACACTAAATGAAGACATTATTAATGAAGCTTCTTCATTGTTGAAGACGGTTCAAATAAAAGATGAGTCCTACCATTGACTTTGATACTAGCGGTGCAGATGTTATCTACACAATCACAAACATAATCTCCAGCGTCTTCAGATTTAACATCAGTGATCTTCAGCTCAACAGTAGAGCTAACTTGCTTGATGATGTACTTTCCTCCAGAACTGATGACCTCTGTTCCTTTTCTCCAAACCACAGGAACTCCAGGTTTTGAGAGTTCACAGCGCAAAGTAACACTCTCCCCTTCTTGAAGCTCTTGGTTCTGTAGCTCACGCTTGAAGACCACCGGTAATGCTGAGGAATTAGGAAAATTTGTTGAACCAGAAACTGGATCTTGTGAGATTTATACTTTGCCTAAAAAATGATTCCACTGATAGATGTAAAACATTCTTCTGAAATGGCTTAACTTATAATTTTACCACCTTGTGAGATTTTAAGTTAAAACAATCACCATGATGCAAATGGAAAAACTATAAACTAGACAAACAGCTTATTACACTAGACTAGCCCATACACCGCACTACACCCTAACTTAAATTAAGACATTATTAAAGTGCAGCTTTTTAGATCAGAAAACAGGAAACTTCTTCATTGTTGTAGAGGGTTAAAATAAAAGGTGAGTCCTACTATTGACTTTGATACTAGCGGTGCTGATGTTGTCTCCGCAATCACAAACATAGTCTCCAGCATCTTCAGGTTTGACATCAGTGATCTTCAGCTCAACAGTAGAGCTAACTTGTTTGATGATGTACTTTCCTCCAGAACTGATCACCTCTGTTCCTTTTCTCCAAACCACAGGAACTTCAGGTTTTGAGAGTTCACAGTGCAAAATAATTCTTTCCCCCTCTTGAACCTGTTGGTTCTGCAGCTCATGCCTGAAGACCACTGGTAATGCTGAGGAATCAGGCAAAGTTGTTGAACCAGGAAAATCTTGTGAGATTAATTTGTCATTAAGTTTTTGAGGGTTCAAATAAAACCTCAGTCCTACCATTGACTTTGATGTTAGCAGTGGTGATGTTGTCTCCACAATCACAAGCATAGTCTCCAGTATCTTCAGGTTTAACATCAATGATTTTCAACTCAACCGTAGTCCCAATTTGTCTGATGATGTACTTTCCACCAGAATGGATCACCCGTGTTCCTTTCCTCCAAATCACAGGAACTCCAGGTTTTGAGAGTTCACAGCGCAGAATAACAGTGCCACCTTCATCACATGCTTGGTTTAGCAGTACTTCCGTAAACTGAATTGGGTGAGCTGTTGAGGCAGGCACTTGTTGAGTATACAAGGTCAATTTGTACACTATTCTGTAATATAACACAGAATGTGTACAGGCAAAACATCTTAGCTTTATAATATTACTTTCTAAATATTAAACCCAAGTCAGGAAAGTTCACTATAAATGCACTATAAAACTACTAATGAATGTTGTTACAAGAATATAAGAAAGTTTGTCATCAACACCAATGAGACCATCTAAAGAGAAACACTTTTCAGGTTCACATAGCCATTTAAAGAAATCCAGTTTGTATGTTTCAAAAATAAACATAAAAGATATCAACATCAAGACTGGTGACATGATATGTTGAAAATATTCAAGATACAAAAACAATGCCTGAATCAGTTTCCATCCATGAACAGTATGGCAGAATTAAGACTTTGAATACATTTTTGGATGATTTCATACAGCTAAAAACTGCATGAAAAGTGTTACATTTAGAGATACAAATCAAACTAAAATGAAAAATGATGAAAGACCAGCCTGCAATGGTAAAGAACAGTCTACAGCAGTGTTTCCCAACCTTTCTTTAGTCGCGGCACCCTTTGGAAATTTTAACAAATTTGTGGCACCCTACAAAATTAATTTTGTCACAATATTTGAATTTCTAACTTCGATATGATACTTTGAAAAGTATAGATATTCAGTACAGCAGGGAAGAACTGCAGAATATACTGTCATACAGATATTTTTAATATTATAAAAAAAATGTGTCCATCAATGGTGGCAATCAGTAGGCTAATTTCTGATGAAAAGACCAATTTATATGACAGATTTTAATGTAGGCTTTTATTCATATGTAAACATTGTGAGATAGCCAGTTATAATGGTAATTAAACAAAGTTTTGCTCACTCAGTGTATTTTTGATTTTACAGTTGGGTAATTTTGTTGCAGTAGCACGAGATAGCTTGATTTAAAACTTTGAATTGAATAAAAAATGACAAGGAGGCTAAGCAGTTAATAATAAAACAAGAACAAATAAAGAAATTACTAATGATAGCACAAATAAAACATAACGATAGGCCTACAAATGAAATAAAGGGCTATACACACAGTAGGGCTATTAAGAGATTTTTTTTTTTTTTTTTACCAATTATCCAAATAATGTTTAATCCTAGAAAGCTATTATTATCAGAGGACACGTGAGCATAACAGTTAGCAGATCAATGAATGAGAGGGCAGCGTTACCAGAGTTGCCCATTTACCACAAAAAGGATTTTTTACACGGCACCCCTGCTCTCGACAGACGGCACTCCGGTTGGAAAACACTGGTCTACAGAATAACACACAGACAAACGTGTGGGAGCAGAGTGAGTGGCTCCTGACTGAAAAATTGTAGAATGCAACTAAAAACAGGTTAAAAAATCACCTCTAGAAACATTTTAATTAAAATGCCAACAGTCTAGACTTTTCTGAAAAATCAAAGCAAGAGGACACAACTAATGTTCCTAAACCAGCTACTTTCACTAAACCAAGTACACAAACAGATGAAAATCATCTGAGATAAGCTAAACTCTTCCATACAACCATCATCCACTCCTGCCCTCTTCACCTTTGTTCATTGCAAGTACAATGTGGGAAACAGATAACACTCTAGAGTCAACCATTTAAAATAAATATTCACCATGTGTGACTAGAACAAGCCGTGGTGCAGGTAAAGTCGAAGGAGAACAATGCATCAATAGCCATTGATTTTCAAGTGATAGAATATAAGTAAAACAAAAATAAAACAAAATCAGATTAGCAACATGTGCTTCACTTTTACTTATGCAAAGACATTTTTTAAAACATAAAAGATGAACTGCTATTTTGCTTAAGTTTGTCTGGTAATAAAAGTAGGAGCAACAGTTCTGAAAATGTAAAAAAAAAAAAAGAATGCTTAGACAGAATATCCGAAGGATTTTTGATGCACGGGCGAGAAGCTTAAATGCTTGTCAACAAAATAAAGACACACCACAGCAAAGAGTGCTCAAAACACTATCATAATGCAAAAGCGACTGTGTGTGGCCACATGCTGTTCCATTCAAAAGAACGCATTACTGAACATTTTGACTGGGATTCACTTTTCCATTAGCACATAAACGTGCTGCACGACAGGCAGGAAATAGACATCAGTTTCATACCACTGAGCTCTGACTGTTTCTCTTTCTTCTGCTTCTGGAAGTCTGATTCAAGGGCAGCAGAAGGACGGAGGAACTTTAGAGCTGTGACAAAAGACACATTCATGTAAACTGCAACCCTTGGCCAAAACTGTAAGGATCTTAGAACGCAAATAGCAACGCCTGTGTCAGCCATGTTGGACAATAGTGGCAAATACTAAACAAGCAGACATCCTTATTTTACAGAAGCATTCATGCATGTTAACTAAATGAAAGCCCCCAAAGCCTGACTGATTTCTGACTGACAGATAGCACGGCCAACAAGAAGAATTCAAGCTGCTGACCAAGAAAACAAAGCACGGTCATTCTGCACATTTGCTCTGTACCATCGACTGATGCCCCCTGCTCAGTAGTCTGCTTTTGAAGTCCTGGTTGGTATAAGGGTGTCTGTGCCTTCAGAACTGTGACAAAAAACATTTTGTAGATGGAATCACAGACAATGCAATCTCAAAGAAGACGTGTCCAAAGCTTGGAACACATGCAAGTTCTGTATCAAGTAGTGTAATATGTGTTGAGTTACTCTACTGTGAATTGAGACTCAAGTCAGACTAGTGAAACCTGAAACCCATATCTCTGTTCCACATATGAACCACACTAAACTGAAGAGGTTACAAGCTAGAAGAAACAAACAGACAGCGATGAAGAAGTTTAAGGCAATACCAAAACAGATGTCTGTCAGACTATGGCATTACAGCAGGCAGAGCCACAGCAGGATACAACAAATTATCTAAAAGTTATTGTGGCGAGGGGGCGTGGGAAGGCGAAAGGCTGCAGTGGGAGAAAGGGTTTGGAGACGAGCGGGGATAAGGAGGTCAAGTGAATAATGATTAACACCTGTTTGAAATTCCAGTGATTGGCGGAGAGACGCACGCCGCCATGCAGCCAGCTCAGCCGACGCCACTTGCGGAGCTCGTGAAGTCACTCGCCGGGCTTCACCAAATCCAACATCAGGCGCTGATGGACCTCAAGCTGGAGCAGGAGGATCGGTTCCGCCTGTTGGTCCAGGTGCAGGATGAGGACCAGCGGGTCCTCCGGAGCTTGCTTGGCCGGGAGGGCACCCCAGCAGTGGCCCCCTCCCTCGCCCACGTCCCGCTGTTGAAGATGGGTCCACAGGATGACCCGGAGGCTTTTGTGGACCTCTTCGAGAGGACAGCGGAGGCGTGCGGCTGGGCGCGCACCCAGCGGGGACCCGGGTCATTTTTTAGACCGGTGTCCAATGATGGAGGTGGGCACATTGATCCGGGTTCCCGACTCCCCGGCGGCTGCCCCCGATCAAGCCGGGCTGTACCAAATACCTGTGAGTATCAAGGGGGGTGCATATCAGGCGTTGGTGGAGTCAGGCTGTAACCAAACCTCCATTCATCAAAGCCTGATGCAACAAAGGGCGTTGGATATGAGCTGCAAGGTTAAGGTGAGGTGTGTGCACGGGGATGTGGTGGACTACCCGTTAGTGGCTGTTGGCTGGGAAATGGGGAAGCGGTGGCGCAGGCTGGAGATGCGGTTTCGGGACCGTCACAGGCTGTCTCAGTGGAAACGAGAGTCGAGGGCGGAGCTTATATCCCCTGAGCTGGATGACTTTCCACTGGAGCAGTCTCGTGATGAGCCGCTTAAAAATGCGTATGACCGGGCCCGCACCATCGACGGACAGCTTCTCCAGCCTGACCAGGACAAGATCCTCCGGCCACATAACGCGTATGCCGCTGCCTATCTCGACGACATCATTATATACAGTAATGATTGGCAGCGGCATATGGAACATCTGCGAGCGGTCCTGAGATCCCTGAGGGTGGCTGGACTCAAGGCGAACCCGCGGAAGTGTGCAATTGGGCGTGTGGAGGTACGGTATCTGGGCTTCCACTTGGGTCATGGGCAGGTGCGTCCCCAAATTGATAAGACGGCAGCAGTTGCGACCTGTCCGAGACCCAAGACCAAAAAGGAGGTGAGGCAGTTCCTGGGGCTGGCGGGATATTATAGAAGGTTTGTACCTAAGTATTCGGACCTCACCAGCCCGCTGACTGACCTCACTAAAAAGGAAGCACCAGACCCCCAGCAGTGCCAGCAGGCTTTCACCCAGGTAAAGGCTGCTCTGTGTGGCGGGCCGCTCCTTCACTCCCCTGACTTCTCTCTCCCTAAAAGGGAAGCACCAGATCCGGTCCAGTGGACGGAGCTGTGCCAACAGGCCCTAACCAAGGTAAAGGCTGCCCTGTGCGGCGGGCCACTCTTGCACTCTCCTAACTTTGATCTCCCTTTCTTGTTGCAGACAGACGCGTCGGACAGGGGGCTGGGTGCAGTCCTGTCCCAGGTGGTGGGAGGAGAGGAGCGGCCGGTGCTGTATCTGAGTCGAAAGCTCTCAAAGAGAGAGACCAGATACAGCACCATTGAAAAAGAGTGTTTGGCCATTCGGTGGGCTGTCCTCACCCTTCGTTATTACCTCCTGGGATGGGAATTCACTCTCTGTTCGGACCACGCACCCCTCCAGTGGCTCCACTGTATGAAGGATACCAACGCGCGGATCACCCGTTGGTATCTAGCTTTACAGCCTTTTAAGTTCAAGGTGGTCCACAGGGTCCTCCTTCCCGACTCACGAACTGTATTACAGTTATATTTAAGCATATATAGAATTATAGAATTATATAGAACCATCAAAAACTTCTTCAGTTATGGTTTTTAGCTTTGGAATGCAAGAGAGTAATTTTGTGCTACACACTTGAAATGAACAATTACATATTGTTCATTACTGTAGGATATCTTTGGAAACTTAACATAACAAATGCAACAAATAAAACGACTAACAACACTACATAACAGTATTAACCAACACCAAAGCAAGCAATTATATTACATTGAAAATGGTTGTTTGTCAGAATAGTGCAGCTGGGGGGAGGGTAATTAATGGTTAAAAAATCCCAGAAAGTATAAGAATGATTCATACCCTTGATCTTCATATGGGCTGTTGTTGCCTTGTCTCCACATACACACGTGTAGTCTCCTTCATCTTCAGGTTTGAGATCTGTGATCTTCAGCTCCACCTTTGAGGCAATCTGCCTGATGACGTACTTTCCTCCAGACTGAATAACATGGCTTCCTTTTTTCCACTGCACAGGGACACCAGGTTTGGAAAGCTCACAGGACAGAGTAGCACTGCCTCCTTCATCACACTCCAGGTTTTGCAGCTCATGTGTGAAGACCACTGGTAGTGCTGAGGAACCGTGAAAAGATGTTGGAACCATGTTACACAAATCACTCAGGACAACATCCGAGAACTGGACTGAACAGAAGTCTTTTCAGTCTTCTTGTCTAGTTTTCTAGCTTTGAAGTCATTAAGGACATCAATCAAGCAATTTAAAACAAAACAAAAAAAACAAAGCCATTAGTGTAATATGAAAAAACCCTGATCAACAATAACTTCAGGTCACAGTAGAGGACTGTTATATGATATGTAATACCATACATTTAATCACAATTCAACAAAAGATGTCATTCCTACCATTGACGGTAATGGTAGATGAGGTCTTGCTAAACCCACAATCACAACTATAGACCCCAGCATCTTCAGGTTTGACATCAGGGATCTTCAGTTCAAAAACAGAACCAACTTGCTTTATGTGGTATTTCTCTCCAGAATGGATCACTTGTGTTCCTTTCCTCCAAACCACAGGGACTCCTGGTTTGGAAAGCTCACACTGAAGAGTAACACTGTCCACCTCTTGACACTCCTGGTTTTGTAGTTCTCTTTTGAAGATCAATGCTAAGAAGCAATTGATGTTTCAACAGGTTGTTAATATAATGCACTTTGCACAAAATGTAAATGCACAACATGACAAAACATTCAAAAACCTACCAAAGAAAACGAGACATTATAAGACAGAACACTGACAGAAATCACAAAAACATTGAACATCTTACAAGACAAGATTAGCAGATATTTGTATTAGTGAAGTTAATCTACTTAAGTCAAATAATGCTATATCTATGTTAAGTTCCCTTCAAGCGACTAACCAGTAAAGGTAAAAATATAAAAAGTCTTTGTACTCACTAAAGAGTGAACATGAAAAAAGAAGACATTTAACAGACCGAATGAATTTCATACCCTTGATTTTAATGTTTGCTGTAGTCTTTTTGTCCACACACACACATGTGTATTGTCCAGCATCTTCAGGTCTGAGGTCAGCGATCTTCAACTCAACAGTAGCCCCATCTTGCATGATGAGGTACTTTTCCCCAGATTGTAGCACCTGCGTTCCTTTCTTCCAAACAACAGGAACTCCACGCTTTGAGAGTTCACAGTGAAGAGTAACGCTGTCTCCTTCGTCACACTCTTGGCTTTGTAGCTCACATTTGAAGACCGCCGGTAATGCTGAAGAGCAATTATGTGATGACATAAATTAAAGGTGTGTAAAAATGAGTAGTTTCTTGACTACACATGCATTGACATTTTAGTGTATCGCTTGATCTTAAAATAAATTGAATTAAAGCAAAAAAAAAAATCTATATCTAAATCAATAAATGGATGCATGTAAATGAATAGGCTTTTATCCATACCACTAACAACAACATTTGCTGTTGTTTTTTCGCTTCCACAATCACAGGAATATTCTCCACTGTCCTCAGGCACTAAGTCTGAAATCTGTAGCTCACACATGGTGTCCCTCTGCATTATCTGATATCTTCCCCCATGTTTCAGACTTTGCGTTCCCTTCTTCCATTGCACTTGGCAGCCAGGTTTTGAGAGCTCACAGGAAAGTAAGACTTTCCCACCTTCAGTAACCTGCTGGTTCTTCATCTGACCCTTAAACCTAGCAGGTACCACTGGAGAACGAACAAGCGTCATATAATTAAAATTCTTCTTCATAGTTTTAGCATCCAAAAGACAGGATGGAAGATCTCTGGGATGAGATGATGAAGGTACGACATGGAAGCTAGGATAAGCCAACGTCTGTGTTATTTTGCGTCATAATGTGATTAAGCTTGTAATGTATAATATCTTTACATTATTATTCGTCGTCAAAATTTTCTATAATCACGGAAACATTAAAACAAACACAGAAACAGTTCCAACACATCCACTGCACCAGGACTACATGAATACATATATTACACATACAAAGTCCAGACAAGACCGAATCTCACAAACCAAGACAAACACAAAAGTGCAAGTGCCATTTCTAATATTTGACAACTTAACAGACTGCTGAAAGACATCTACTGAAATCACACAACAGCTTCTTTATAAAAACTAACTGATCTGCCCAATAAAACCTAAATTATATTTCAGATAACTAAGACAAGGATGCTAATGGTAAAAAATGTGAACTCAAAAGTAATGAAATGTTCTATCATGTCAGTTGTTGAACTAAGAACAAGTAAACAATTTCAGCATGTATGGAAATAAAAGACTATATAACCACATTTTTACCAAACTGACTTGCTAGAAATCTAAATGACATGTAAAGTACCAAAATTATTGTAAAAGTACAATATAAAAGTACCAGTTCTCTGAACTGAGGTGATCATCTGCTGACACAGAAATGCATGAGACTATCACCGAAATGCCTGGCAGTAGCATCGCCACAAAGGAACCCAAAAGTAAAATGTCAAATGCAGAAATACAACACATATGTTGAATCAAATAAAAAATTGTACTTACCAGAAATACTTTCAAAGAACACAGAGACAATAAAAACACTACATACATAAAAGCTTTAAACCTAAAAAACACTAAGAATATAATCTAAGATTCTCCAGCTTCAAGTAATTATTTTCTAGCTAAGGGTAATACATTGCTATAAACACCCAGAAAGAGAGATTTCTGTGTTAAGCGGTTTATTTTTCGGAGAAAGCCAGGTTCTTACCTTTCACCGTCAATTTGGCTGTACTCTTCGTAGAGCCAATGTCACAGGTGTATACCTCGCTGTCACTCTTCTCCAGATCCTTCACTTTGAGGATGAGGACAGTTCCCTTTTGCATAAGCTCATACCTTCCTCCAGCCCTGATCTCCTTTGTTCCTTTCAGCCAGGTGACTTTAGAGGCAGGTTGGGTTGTCTCACATTCAAAGGAGACAGCACTCTTCTCTTCTGCAGTGGCATCCTTTAGCTCACGAATGAATTTGTTGGCCAGTTCTACAGAGGGGATGAAATACTAAAGTAAATATATCTCCTGTTTAGAGGATTTCCCTCTTTGTATATTTAAAGAAAGGATAATGGAATCTAAGGCTACGTTTACACGACAACGATGTAGTCAAAAACAGAAAAGTTTTTCCCTTGCCTTTTTAAAAAGTTTCATGTATACACGACAATGTTTTCAAAACAATTCGCGTTTACACATATCCGCGAAAACGGCCAAGAACGCTGTATTACGTATGCCAGGCCAGTAGTTGGCACTGTCACCTTGTTAGTAATTTTAAAATCCTTGCCTTTGATCTCCAGCTTAGCCTTGGAGGTTGGACCACCGGTGATCTCACAGCTGTATTCTCCAGAATCTTTTTCAGTGACGTTGCGGATTGTCAGCTTTACGAGCGTCCGCTCCTGACTGATTTCGTATTTCTGGCTTTTTCTAATAGATTTGCCATCCTTTGACCACTTCACTTCCAGTCCAGATTGAGAAAGCTCACAGGAGAATGTGGCATCCTCACCAATTTTGGCACTGACACCTTGAAGCTCTTTAGATATGGTAGGAGCTTCACCTGGCTCCCAAAAATAAGATACACCTTGATTAAGCAAAACCGTATTTGTGTAAAACCTATAATCCAATTCATTGCATGCCCTGCTTACCCTCAACAGTAAATGTTGCCTTTGAGCTCAAATCCTTGAGAGTGAAGACCACCTCACCGGAATCAGAAGCTGAGACAGCTTTGATTGTTAAGGTATACTTGCGCCCTTTGCTGCTTATCTGGAAACGGCCTCCATCAGTGACAGGTTGGCCTTTTAGGCTCCAGGTGCACCTCTCTGAACTTTCTCGGGACAAGATACACTCGAATGTGCAGTTTTCACCTGCTTTGGCCTCTACCGATTTAAGACGCTTGGTGATCCCAATGTGGATATCTGGGGTCAACAGCAAAGACATTATTAAAAAACACCAACAACTTTATCCGTTTTCATAAAAACATACAGGATAAAACTACACCAAAATGACACTACAGTGTCATTGTAGCACAACAGTACTACGTAAGTTTGTTGTCATACCTCTAACAGTGACCTTGGACTTGGAGAGGTCTGTGCCAAGATCACAGCTGTACTCCCCGGCGTCAGCTTGTGTGACATCATGGATAGTAAGTCCCAAGGTCTTACCATCATGGAGGAGCTCATACTTTTTCCCTGCTGACAGGACTGTTCCATCTTTGCGCCACACAGGGGCCACTCTGGGCTTTGAGGCTTCACACTTAAGGGTAACTGTACCCTTCTCCTCTGCAACTACATCATCCAGCAACTTTAGGAAGATGGCTTTCTTCTCTGGATGTCAATAAATAAAAAAGTGCATTAAGCCAAAACCTGGTCAAAAAAGTCTTTATTTGGACATCGTGATACAACCCCACCTTTGACCTTTAGGCAGACCGTTTCTTTCACATCCCTGATGCTGAATAAGACCTTCCCACCATCCTCAGGTGCTAGGTTCTTGAGAGTGAGCGTATGGGTCTTATCCACATGGGTGATGGCATTGACCTCATTGTTGAAGAGCGGCTTGTCATTGAGTGTCCACTGGACCTCTTCATCAGCGTAGTTAACCTCACAGGTGAACACAGCATCACCATCTTCATCCACCTCCACGTCCGTCAGATGTTTGGTGATTTGGATTTTACGCACTATGTCAGAAAAATAAACATCAAAAAGCATGATCAGAGTGGCATTTATTTTACCAACAGCACCTATGAGTGCTTGGCGTAGTCAAAGCAAAGCTCTAACAAGCAACCCTAACCCTAATGGTTTGGATGTATAAAGGGAATGCAATTTGAAACGACATGTTTCGAATGCCTTCTTTGTGACATTACCTTCTACTTTGAGAACAGCTTTGCTCTCACAGACCCCGACCTGACAGCGATACTCTCCAGAGTCCTCTGCACTCAAAGCTTGTATGATCAGCTGCACATTGGCGTCCTTTTGCTTCATGCTGTATTTGCTAGAAGCCTCCAAAGCGGTTTGACCCTTAAGCCACCGTACTTCTTTTGGTGTGGCAGAGAACTTGCAGCATAGTGTGGTGGAAGTCTTCTCCTTGGCTGACACATCTTTAAGAGGCTCCAGGACTTCAATGGGACGCTCTGTGGAGTGATATGAACAGTGATTTTGAAAACAAACACAAAAGTGCACAAAACTACAACAAACATTACATTTCATCTGTAGTAAACATAAATGGAGCAAAATACACCTTTTTTCAAAGCACTCAATTTCTGTAGGAATTTTATCATGCATCATCAAAAACTATTCAATTAGAATTATTAGATACAGATAAGATTTCTTTTGGAGTGGCTTTTTGCAAATCTCGGTTAAACCAAGTGTCTAACCTTTCACTTTGAGCTCAGCTGTTGATTTGCTCTTTCCGGCAGTGAACTGTACTGGGCCTGACATGGAGGCCTTGGTCTTCTTAAAAGTGAGTCGGTGCATGGTTCCCTCTTTCTCCATCTCGATATCTGCACTCTCCTTCAGCTGTTCCCCATTTAGCGTCCATTTCACTGGCTTGACTGTCTCCACGCTGACTTCCACCTCAAAGTTGGCAGCAAACGGCTCGGTCACCTCCAAAGAACTCAGCTCCCGTACTATGCTGATAGCCTGCTCTGAAGGTTGTGATGAGACAGTATAGTGCTGTGTCAAGAATTGGCTATATCAAAAATGTTTATGTAGTACAATTCTTAAAAAACACTTGAGACTTAAGAAGACACATACTAATGAAACTGCATGGAAATAAAACAAAATGCATGGAAAGTAAATTCACATAACAGTAATTTAAATTGTAAGCAAGCATAAATTCATCCCTGTTTGAAAGGGGAAATTAATGAGATAAATAAGATTTTTAAATATGGTTAAAATCGCATACAACGCTCATTCTTGTCTGTTGCAGATCAATCAAAAACTGATCTACAAACTGTTATCAAATAATTAACAACATGCAATCACATTTTCTACACCATTTTTACAGTCAATTTCAAACGTGTTTTAGTTTGTAATGTATGGTTGTGCTTTATGAATTCTGCTGTGATTTCATCCTAAAATTTAATTTTATTCTTTAAATCACAATGGAAATGGTTTTTACCCTCTATTAGTAGCTGACATGAAGTCTTATCATCAATGGCGTCACACACGTATGTATCCTCATCATCAGAGTCCACGTCGATGATGGTGAGCTTCCTGTAGATGTCCTCACTGGTGATCTCGTGCTTCTTGCTGGGTTTGATCTCTGACTTGTTCTTGTACCACGTGACTTTAGCGTTGGCCCGTGATACCTGACATTCTAAGTATGCGCGGTGTTTGTACATGGCGATTTTGTCTCTCAGTTTCTTCACAAATCTGACAGGCAGTTCTGTAATGATTATAAGGGAGCTTAGGGGATCTACAGATTTGTTAGACAACCTTAGAAATGCTACACAGCCCAGGCTGTAGTTCATTAGTCTTAACACTAAATGCAAAATGCATGCAGATATGACAGACATGACAACGAACCTTTAACCTTCAGTTTAGAGGCTGAAGAGGCCTTCTCAGCTGTGAACTTTATTTCACCTGCGTCCTCAGCCTTTACAGATTTGAGGAGTAGAATGTATGTTCTTCCTAAGACAGAGAATTTTAAATGAGTTTAAGAACCATTAATCTGTCCCTCTTGGAGCTGATTATTATTATTATTTTTTTGCTTTTTGTGAACAGAGAAAATAAAAGGAACTGATTGTATTGTAATTTAAACTATGTACTGCCATACTGGGCTGCATGTTCCTCAATCTACAAGCATTTCTACAAGCACACCTAAGCTTTCAAGAAGAAAGCAATCAAAGTCCATTTTGTTCAATTTACCCTCCTGCCTTATCTTTATGTTGTCTCCAGCTTTAAGTTTGGCATCTCCTTTGTGCCACTGAGCCTCGACCTCATCGTGAGAGACCTCACAAACAAACGTTGCACTCTCCTTCTCTGTCACCTCCACGTCCTGCAGCGGCTTGACTATTTTAATATCTCTGGCTGCAAGAATTCAAATACAAACATTTATTCAAGTGACACTACAAAATGCTTGAGTTCGGCAGTGATTAAATGTCCCACTCAGAAGTCATTCATCTTTACCGTGAACAGTGAACTTGGCCGAAGTATTGTCATCTGTTGTTCTACATATATACTGGCCCTGGTCTTCATATGCACACTTGTGGATGATGAGGGTGCGCTTGTTGGCCTGGGAATAGATGCCACATTTCTTTCCTGGCTTCAGTTCCTCATCATCCTGATGGGGAAATAATGACACAGTTCCATCAACATTTTTTACTTTTTCTTTTTTCAAATCATTTTGTATTTTTTCCATTTGTGACTACACAATTTATTTTTAACAATTCTAAATCAAATACTAATACCTTAAACCACTTGACATCAGCATTTGCTCTTGACACCTCACATTCAAAAGTGACTTTCTCCTTTTCAGGAGAACTGATATCCCTTAGAGGTTTGAAGATCTTTGCAGCAGGTTCTGTGCACACAACGCCAATAATTAGGGTTATAATTGTTATATATAGATTCTAACATTGGTGGTAATGTTATGGATCTCCTCATTAGTTTACATAAACCTTACTAAACTTGCAATAAGCGTAAATGGGATATATTGTGGACATTCATTTAGTTTGTCTGGCTGAATATACTTAAAAATGTTGGTTATACAGCTTCTGAAAGTACAAAACTTGAAAACACACTTTTTATGATCTTATGCTAAACATTTTACTGAATCTTGCTATTCAGGCTTAAACTTAAAGGGATAGTTCACCCAAAAATGAAAAGTCTGTCATTAATTACTCACCCTCATGTCATTCCAAACCCGTAAGACTCATCTTCGGAACACAAATTAAGATATTTTTGATGGAATCTGACAGCTCTCTGACCCTCCCATAGACAGCAAGGGTACTACCACGATCAACGTCCAGAAACGTAGCAAGGATATCAGTAAAATAATCCATGTGACATCAGGGGTTCAACCGTAATATTACGAAGCTACGAGAATACTTTTTGTGTGCAAAAGAAAAAAAGAAACGACTTTATTCAACAATTCGTCTCCTCCGTGTCACCCTAGTGCCATTTTGGAGAGTATCCACTGAACGCAAACAGAGTATGTTGTTCTGTGTCAGCCGCACCACACTGATACGTTTTCTATGTTGTTTGTGCTTTGATTTGAACGAAAACAATGTATCCGTGTGACGCATCTGACACAGAACAACATACGCTGTTTGCGTTCAGTGGATACTCTCCAAAATGGCGCTACGGGGTGACACGGAGGAGACGAATTGTTGAATAAAGTCGTTTTTTTTTTTCTTTTGCGCACAAAAAGTATTCTCGTAGCTTCGTAATTAGGGTGAGTAATTAATGACAGAATTTTCATTTTTGGGTGAACTAACACTTTAAAGACCCGCAATATACACACTCACCTGTAACAATTAGTTTGCCAGAAGTATGGACATCCTCAGCTTGGAAAGTAATAGTTCCACCATCACTTATCTTCAGCTGGGACATAGTCAAGCAGTGCTTGTTGCCCAGTGCTGTAATGATGATATTGGGTCCTGCCTTTAGTTTCTTTGCATCTTTGCTCCAGGAACCTTCTACATCAGCCTTGCTTAGCTCCACCTCCATAGTGATGGTCTCTTTTTCTTGCACTTTAATCTCTTTTAGGCCTTTTACTATTTGAATCTTCTTAACTGAATGGTAGAAAAAAACATTGGAAATCCATAGATGAAATATTTTTATTTGATCATTTCCTGTATATTTTAATCATAAAATATTATGATCGAAAGAGTAAGTCTGTAATAGCGTAACATAATGAAGGAATCCATACTCTCTACTGTCAGTTTGGCCTGGGTCTTGTCATCTAGGGTTTCACATGAGTAATGTCCTCTGTCAGCATACGCCACACTCTTGAGGACCAAAGCCTGCTTGGCACCATCCACATGGATCTCCATATTTTCTCCTTGCTGTAGTACCACACCATTCTTCATCCACTTCACATCTTTTGAGGGTTTACTCAGCTCCATTTCCAAACGAACTGTGTCCTGCTCAGTAACAGTCATGTCTGCAAGCTTCTTCTTGAAGGTGACGGGAAGCTCTGCAAAATACAGATATATTTGTATTGAGAAACAGGTAGTCTGTGTATTTCCTGACGATATGTTGCATTACGATTAACAATAGTATCTGTCACTTATCCTTACGTTGTACTTGGAGTGTGGCTTTGCACACTTTCCCCTCGGCATCGATACTGATCTCTCCTGCATCCTCCTGAGTGACAGCTGTGATGGTGAGGGAATGGCTGCTTCCCCCATGAGCGATCTTAAATTTGGGACTAGCTGTAATAGGAATGTCATTACGCAGCCATCTGACACTTACATCGGCTGGTGTGACGGAGCATTTAAAGATGGCATCTTTGCCTTCATTTGCAACAACATTGTTCAGCTTGGTAGTGAACCTCACCAGACGTGGGGCTGTGGGAAATTAGATTGAAAAACTGAGAGAAATGATAATGAAGGACATCTATCACTTAAAACAAGCTTAATAAGTTGTGTTGGTTCATTTTGATGAGAATCGATGACTTTCAGACATAGACACTAATTGTTCGTACCTTTAGTAGTGACTTTGGAGGAGGTCTTGTCATCTTTGCAATCGCAGCTGTACTCCCCTTCATCCTCCTGAGCCACAGCGGAGACAGTCAAGATGCAGTTGGTGCCATCAGTGCGGATACTGAATCTGCCACCTGATTTGATTTCTTTGCCGTTATGCTTCCAGAGGACACTGCTCGTGACTTTGTTGAGACTGCAGGAAAGTGTCATGGTGCTTTCCAGTACCGCAGACACTGGCTGCAATGGCACCACAAACTTTAAATGTGCATCTGCAGGGCACAGATGAGGGAAAAATGAAATTACATTTTGTCTGCGATCAGTTAGATTTATTATTTCAATAAGTGCAATTATATCCAACACAATTTACTTTGAAAACTCCAGATGTATGAGCATTAATTGAATTGAATTGAATTGAATAAAAAAAATCAAAAATAAATATGCAATAAAAAATTATGAAAACTGCCATTAAACTGTTAAAATTAACAAATTTTACCTTGAGAAATTATCAACACCTTAAATCATTTGTACTTTTTCTTACTTTGAAATTGCAAATTAGCCTTTACCTTTGACCTGAACCTTGAACTCAACCTTGTCATCAGCCGTCTGACAAAAGTAGGTGCCGCTGTCTTTAGATTCAGACGACTTAACGATGAGGACACGTGAGCGACCTTCCTGTTTCATCTCATACTTTGATCCGTCTTTCAGTTCTATTCCATCCCTGAACCACTTAACACTACAATTCTCTGACATCACCTCGGTTTTTAAAACAACCTTTTCTGTTGACTCGACCATCACAGTTTCTTTTGTTACGGATGTCTTCTGGAATTTGGTAGAAACATCTGAGGAAAAAATAGAAAATAATCACTTAATTGTGACCATGTTCTGGAGGAAGACAAGTATGTGGAGTCCACTAATGTGCAAGAAAATGTTTACCTTCCACCTGAATCTTAAAGAGAAGTTTCTCATTCCCAACTTCACAGGTATATTCTCCAGCATCCTTCTTCTCCACATTCTCCAGCACCAGCTGGTGGCTCTTGCCCTTTGACTCCATGTGGACAGTCTTACTGGAGCTCAACTGCTTGCCATCCTTGAACCATTTCACCTCAGTCTTGAGGTCAGAAACTTCACAGTTCAGTGTAGCTTTTTGGGAGGCTGAAACCTTCACTTCCTTCTGATAAGAGTCTTTGTTGGTGAAGGCAGCTTTGAGCTCTAATAAGAAGAGAGTTTACTTAATTCAGAGTTTGCCTATTTACAGAGAAAGTCAACACTAGATTTGCAATTACATTGAATATGACAAGAGACAAGAAATATTTTCATAACAGCTTTTAAATAACCCAAAGAAGACTGTCAAGATGCACAGAACCAAAATGAACAATCCAAAATGGTTTCCATACCTGTCACCTGAATCTTAAATGGCAGCTTTTCATTCCCAACTTCACAGGTATATTCTCCAGCATCCTTTGTCTGCACGTTCTCCAGCAGCAGCTGACGGATCTTGCCCTTTGACTCCATGTGGACAGTCTTACTGGAGCTCAACTGCTTGCAATCTTTGAACCATTTCACCTCAGTCTTGGGGTCAGAAACCTCACAGCTGAGTGTGGCTTTTTTGGAAGCAGCTACTTTGACTTCCTTCTGGTAGGAGTCCTTGTTGGTGAAGGCAGCTTGAATATCTAGTTGGGCAGGCATATTGGAACATGGATCCAATATTAGAAAACAGTAAATATTTTACTTTAAGTAATAGACATCAAATACTGCAAAGACTGAATGGTTGAGAAATCCAGCAGAGATCAAAAATCATAGCATGCATATTAAGCAAACAGATCCAAATCTCACTGCAGACCATTACTTTTTCAGTAGCATTGAAATAAGCAAGTAATTGCTTTTTAGTTTTAAAATTACCTCTTTTTGAACAGAATAATTGCGTCACTAAATCTACAAACACAAGTTAATTGTATCTTACTCAATGGTCTCTTTCACAAAGGACAAACTCTTTTTCTACATGTAAAATTAGCTTTTGTCAAGCTTCACTGATTGATTGTAATTTTTATTTATTTCATAAGGAAGAAAACCTAAAATAGAAACAGACAGCCAAAAGACAAACAAAAGGATGTTCCCATACCTGTCACCTGAATTTTAAAGGCAAGCTTCTCATTTTCAACTTCACAGGTATATTCTCCAGCATCCTTCTTCTCCACATTCTCCAGCACCAGCTGACGGCTCTTGCCCTTTGACTCCATGTGGACAGTCTTACTGGAAATCAACTGCTTGCCATCTTTGAACCATTTCACCTCAGTTTTGGCATCAGAAACTTCACAGCTCAGTGTGGCTTTTTCGGAGGCTGAAACCTTCACTTCCTTCTGATAAGAGTCCTTGTTGGAAAAGGCGGCTTGAATGTCTGGTGCAGAAATCAAGATTTAGGAATATAGTCTCAGAAACTGCATTTAGTTTTATGTAAACTTTGCTTCGCTCATGTTTGATTGAGTCACTAGAACACTGGATTCGTCTGAAATAAGAAAGTCATATACAACTAGGATGCCTTGAGGGTCAGTAATTCATGGGATAATTTTAATTTTTGGGTGAACTAACCCTTTAAATAACCCAAAGAAGACAGATAAGATGCACAGAACCAAAATGAACCGTCCAAAATGGTTTCCATACCTGTCACCTGAATCTTAAATGGCAGCTTTTCGTTCCCAACTTCACAGGTATATTCTCCAGCATCCTTTGTCTGCACGTTCTCCAGCAGCAGCTGACGGATCTTGCCCTTTGACTCCATGTGGACAGTCTTACTGGAGCTCATCTGCTTGCCATCCTTGAACCATTTCACCTCAGTCTTGAGGTCAGAAACTTCACAGCTCAGTGTGGCTTTTTGGGAGGCTGAAACCTTCACTTCCCTCTGATAAGAGTCTTTGTTGGTGAAGGCAGCTTTGAGCTCTAATAAGAAGACAGTTTACTTAATTCAAAGAGTTTGCCTATTTACAGAGAAAATAAACAGTAGGGTTGCAATTACGTTGAATATGACAAGAGACAAGAAATATTTTCATAGCAGCTTTTAAATAACCCAAAGAAGACTGTCAAGATGCACAGAACCAAAATGAACAGTCCAAAATGGTTTCCATACCTGTCACCTGAATCTTAAATGGCAGCTTTTCGTTCCCAACTTCACAGGTATATTCTCCAGCATCCTTCTTCTCCACGTTCTCCAGCAGCAGCTGACGGATCTTGCCCTTTGATTCTATGTGGACAGTCTTACTGGAGCTCAACTGCTTGCCATCCTTGAACCATTTCACCTCAGTCTTGGGGTCAGAAACTTCACAGCACAGTGTGGCTTTTTGGGAAGCAGCTACTTTGACTTCCTTCTGATAGGAGTCCTTGTTGGTGAAGGCAGCTTGAATATCTAGTTGGGCAGGCATATTGCAACATGGATCCAATATTAGAAAACAGTATTCTTTGAGTAAATATTTTATTTTAAGTTATAGACATCAAATACTGCAAAGACTGAATGGTTGATAAATCCAGAAGAGATCAAAAATCATAGAATGTATATTAAGCAAACAAATCCAAATCTTACTGCAGACTATTACTTTTCCAGTAGCACTGAAATAAGCAAGAAATTGCTTTTTAATTTTGAAATTACTTCTTGATCAGAAAATGTATGCGTCACTAAATCTACAAACACAAGTTAATTGTATCTTACTCAATGGTCTCTTTCATCAAGGACAAACTCGTTCGCTATATGTAAAAGTAGCTTTTGTCAAGCTTCACTGATTGATTGTAATTTTTATTTATTTCATAAGGAAGAAAACCTAAAATAGAAACAGACAGCCAAAAGACAAACAAAAGGATGTTCCCATACCTGTCACCTGAATTTTAAAGGCAAGTTTCTCATTTCCAACTTCACAGGTGTACTCTCCAGCATCCTTCTTCTCCACATTCTCCAGCACCAGCTGGCGGCTTTTGCCCTTTGACTCCATAAGGACATTCTTACTGGAGCTCAGTTGCTTGCCATCCTTGAACCATTTCACCTCAGTCTTAAGGTCAGTAACTTCACAGCTCAGTGTGGTCTTCTGGGAAGCTGCTACTTTGACTTCCTTCTGATAGGAGTCTTTGTTGGTGAAGGCAGCTTGAATGTCTGGTTGGGCAATGGACAATATGAGAAAACAGTATGCTTTAAGTAAATATATCCCTCAAGATTCTATACAACAGATACAGCAAACACTAGATGGTTAAGAAATCAGGAATGCAAAATAAACTGCAAATGAATCCACAAAAAAGCTAATTACATTGCAGACTGTAACTTGTTTTTGGTTCTGTACCACTGAAATGGGCAAAAAATTATTCTACTTGTCATTGTACCTCTTTTTGAAGACACATTAATAAAATCTTGTGAGGCAAAGCATATATCAAACTCTTTTGTTCAACCCAACAGACAAACACAAGGACATACCTGTCACTTCAATTTTAAAGGCAAGCTTCTCATTTCCAGCTTCACAGGTATATTCTCCAGAATCCTTCTTCTCCACATTCTCCAGCACCAGCTGGCGGCTCTTGCCCTTTGACTCCATATGGACAGTCTTACCGGAGCTCAACTGCTTGCCATACTTGAACCATTTCACCTCAGTCTTGACGTCAGACACTTCACAGCTCAGTGTGGCTTTCTGGGAGGCTGAAACCTTCACTTCCTTCTGATAAGAGTCCTTGTTGGAGAAGGCAGCTTGAATGTCTGGGGCAGAAATCAAAATTTAGGAATATAGTCTCAGAAGCTGCATTTAGTTTTATGTAAACTGTGCTTTGCTCATGTTTGATTGAGTCACTGGAACCTTAAAAAACAAGCCAAAACACGGCCATGGTGTTCTTACCTTCCACACAAATCTTAAAGACGAGCTTTTCATTTCCAATTTCACAGGTATATTCTCCAGCATCCTTCTTCTGCACGTTCTCCAGCAGCAGCTGACGGCTCTTGCCCTTTGACTCCATGTGGACAGTCTTACTGGAGCTCAACTGCTTGTCATCCTTGAACCATTTCACCTCAGTCTTGGGGTCAGAAACTTCACAGCTCAGTGTGGCTTTTTGGGAAGCAGCTACTTTGACTTCCTTCTGATAGGAGTCCTTGTTGGAGAAGGCGGCTTGAATGTCTGGGGCAGAAGTAAAGATTTAGAAATACAATATCAAAAACTAAATTTAGTTTTATGTAAAGATTGGTTTAGTCAAGGTTGATTGAGTCACTGGAGCCTTAAAAAAGCCAAAACGCTGGCATGTTGTTCTTACCTTCCACCTGAATCTTAAAGACCAGCTTTTCATTTCCAGCTTCACAGGTATATTCTCCAGCATCCTTCTTCTCCACATTCTCCAGCACCAGCTGACGGCTCTTGCCCTTTGACTCCATGTGGACAGTCTTACTGGAGCTCAACTGCTTGCCAACTTCACAGCTCAGTGTGGCCTTTTGGGAGGTTGAAACCTTCACCTCCTTCTGATAAGAGTCTTTGTTGGAGAAAGCAGCACGAGTTTCTAAAAAGGACATTCATTGTTTTAGTCAAACATCAAAAAGGACACAGTTCAGGACTTCAAAAAGACCTCAAACATCTCCAAAATTGACAAACACACACTGGCTTAATAATACGTTTTGTGCAAATTTCAATAACCTCTAAGCGATTGTTTCCCAGAGACTAATCTACAATTATTTGTTTTCAAGTTTAACTTGTAGTTTATAACTACAATACCTTAGGTACTCGGAAAAGAGCTGTACCTTGGAAGGACCATTACTGTCCTCAGTAAGATCTGACATTGGCATAATAAATGACATGCTAAACTTTAATATAACTTATACAAGGCTGGTATAACTTTAGAATTTAACTTCACTGTTCAAAAAAACATAAAGTTATGACATTAGTTAGTTATTGTGGCATGTCTGATTAATCCTGCTCATTTAAATTTTTAGTTTCAGACTAATTAGCGCATAGTCATACCTTTTATCTTGACCAGGAATGTCATTTTGTCCTCTGCCGTCTCACACGAGTAGTGTCCTTCATCACTCTGCTTGGCACCCCTGATGACCAGCTTCCTTTGTGTCCCCTGAGATATAAAAGTTGTCCTCTTGTCCTCCATTATTTCTGACTGTTCTTTCTTCCACACAACAGCAGTTCCAGGAGAACCAACCTCACAGCTCAACACCACGTCGCCCACAAGAGCACCACTCTCTTGGGGCTGAGCCCTCGGCTTGTTAACAAACTTAGCTGGTTCTTCTGTCAGGGGAAAATGAAGGATTAGATGCCACACCTCTCTGATTTCAACATGATTAGGTATAGAAATACATTATAAAACACACTAAACATGGCATAGCAGGGCTGTACAGTGCGACATATATGTCGCACGTGCTACAAAAAAACTGGTCTGTGCGATGAATAAATTTACCACTGTAGCACGGGTGCGATACAATTTTGCATGTTCATAACACAGCCGCTTAATAGTGTGAAGTGATTTCGTTGTGCTTGTTTGTGTGTGTGAGATTGATTATACTTGGTAGTTAGGGGTGTGTGATACGACGATTTTTGAATGTCTCCACGATCTGCTTTTGAAGAAATATCGTTGTATCTGCCACAGCGCACATTCTATCAGCTGCAGTTCTGGCGCCTCCCTCCGTCTCAATATAATGTACAAAGCCACATGCATTCACATCAGTGTTAGCTCAGCGGTAGAGTTACTCTCACGGGACACTGCACTTATGCGCAATCACAAAACTACATTATTTCCATTTGCTTTAAAGAAATACCGGTTAAACATTTAATTCACGTGCTGTTCTGCATGCGCTTTTTCTGAGCGTAAATGTCTGCCATTGTTTTTTATTTTATATTTTGTTAAGGTGTAAGAGGTGTTATGTTTCTGCACTCTTCCATTTTTAGCAAATTAAGAAAACTTTGTCAAAAACAATTTTTGTGATGGTTTGTATTTTTTGTGCTCTGTATGGAACATTAGTGCCTGTTTAAGTGATGAACTCCATTACTTGTGTTTGTTTTCAGACATGATAACAGACGTTTTATACATGTGCTACAACTTTTTGGCCTGTGCTACAAAACTTTCAACCTCTGTAGCACCAGTGCTATGTGAAAAAAAAGTTAACGTACAGCCCTGCATAAGAAACATAATGACATCCACTGTCCATTTGTATATAATTTGACAGTGAAAAATGCTAACACACAAATGTGACAACGCATATCAAAAATTTACACATGTACATATCAAAAATACTCATCACATCCCAAAGTATACTGAATTTGATACCTGAAACTGCATTGAGTGCTAAGCAGATATGTTACCTGACAAACACCCTCCAACACTTCCTGTTGAGCAGCCAAAGCGCAGCTGCTCCTACAGTAGATGTCAACACTGACTGCTTACACCATTTATCCACTCTGAACTTTCTGTGCTGGGCTACTCAGCACTCACTACTCAGCACTGGTTTTAATGGCAAACAGCATGCACCACTGTGTATTTCTCTCCTCTATTATTTGGCAGGATACGCTCTTCACTATAAATACGATTTAAAATTGTTCCACTTTCATGTATGTAAATTAATTGTAAATATAATTTGTTCTACTTTAAGGCTTGAAATATAAATACAGGCTATAAAACCGTAAGATAACTGAAGGTCAGTAACTGAAGCAGCTTGTTTCACCTTTAAGGGCGAGCTGGACAGACATTTTATCGCCATCACACATGCATTCATAGATGCCCACATCCTCACAGTCAACGTTGTGGACTGTCAGTGTGCGTTTACGCTCCACACTTGTGGCTTCATATTTTTTACCCATCCTCAGCTCCTTCCCATTCTTCATCCAAACAACCTAAAGCACAGACAGTACATGCAGTTAACTTTCATGTCCACACATTTAATAGATATTTGGTGTTTGTCCCTTTGGGCAATGCATCTCAAAGTTGGTTGAACAAGACAATTTAAACTGGGACAGGGGAAAGCATAACAAACTTAAAATACTTAATGTATTTTCTGTGGATTTTGTTTTTATTTTGACAAAAAAGTGCATGTTGTCACCTGGACGCTTGAATCAGACACTTCTGTGTACATCTGAGCAGAGGAGTGCATGCTGAAAGTAAACACCTCCACCTGAGAAGACTTATTGGTGAAACGTGCGGGTGCGGCTGGAGAAGATCAATACAAAATATCAGGAATGTTGTTGAAGTTATTCTGTTTAAGTTTTCAGAAACGTTTCCTCTCTTACCTTTCACACTAAGCGTGGAAACACTCTGAGATCCACCACCCACAAACTTGACCTGTGCTCCATTTAGTTCCATGGACACCTCCCTGATGATCAGCGTATGTGTGGTCTTTGAGCGTGTGATCAGATACTCAGATCCACTGCGGATCATTCTGTCATTTATGGTCCAGGAGCTGGAACATACGGCTGAGAGCTCAACAGTGAAGGTAGCTTCTTCACCTACATGTGCACTGCAGTTCACCAGGCCTGTCTTCACTGATGCTGTGGGCTCTGAACAAATAAACTTAAATATATTTACTGGATTTAAAACAGTTTATTTTAGTTTAAATATGAAGACTGTCCACAACAACGACAACAAAAAACTTTCTCACCAAGGTAAAACGTTCCAGGAACCTCCAAGTAGGCACTCTGACCAAAATCATTGACCGCTGAGATGCGGAACTGATAGCTTGCTTCTTCTGAAATTTCACTGATGGTGTATTCAGTGCTAGACACAGACGTACTAGTGACTTTAACCCAGGTTTGGGCTCCCACCTTCCTGCGCTCAACGAGATAGCCGGTGATGGGCACAGGCCGTTCACTGTCTGGTGGAGACCAGCACAGCGTGATCGATGAATCTGTCTTGTTCTGCACCACTGGCTCAACTGGGGGATCTGGGGGATGTTTCCTTGGTGCTGAGGTCAAAGTTTATAATATTGTTAATCAGGTTAAAGAAATGGAATCTCTCTAAATGTCAAAAGCAATTATGTTTACTGTTGAAACATTATTAAAGAAATGCACTAGTACAGTCACCACATATTAGCTGTGGTGTCATTCGATTTGACGTGATTACTGTGGTACATACAGTATGACATTTTCAAATCATTAGAACATAGGAAACCGCTTTTAAAATCTTGTGGAAAGGTTGTGGCCTGATTTACAAATGCATTCACCTGTGACAGAGAAGCGGGTGGATGTCTTGCAGTCATGGGCGATGAAAGCCACCTCACCCGAGTCCTCTGCAGTACATTCGCGAATGGTCAGTGTGTACTGTCTGTTAATGCGGGCGATAATAATTCGGGAGTCCTCTTTCAGCCTCTCCCCATTCCTGGTCCAGTATGCATCATCTACTGGTTTCTCCAGTTCCACACAGAAGATCACGGTATCGCTAACCGGCACCACTGTCCTCCTCGGCAGCTTTTTAGTGATGTTGCCTGAAAGTGCAGAGAAAAACCACATGAACAATATCTTTTGTGTTGCACCAGTTTATTCATCATCATTCTGGCCACCCATATTGGAATAGAGCTTATACCCAGCACTGTAAGTTCGGCCACAGTGCGGCTGCCTTCCTTCATCTCACAGATGTACACGGCATCATCATTGGTGGTGACATTGTGACACCCCAAATTATCAATAATTTCTTCTTTGATCCAAGTGTAAACTGAATGTACATACTCATTCTGACAGCATATGGATCAATTAGTGTGCATAAAGTTGCCAAGAGTAAGTACCTGCAGACATTATTCTTACCTTTGACAATCACTAGCACAGCACTATAGGTTTGTCCAGCCAAGTTGGATGCATTGCAGGTGTACAGCCCATTATCACTTTGTTTGCAGTAGAGCACCTTGAGGATGAAATTCTCCGTCTGGTCCTCATACATAACATGTCTGCGGCCCTCACTGATGTTCGCCCCATCCTTCCTCCAGATAATCTGAGGTTTGGGATGGCCTGTGACGAAACAGCTAAGCTTTGCATGTTTACCCTCGGTCACCGTACAGGTGCGGGTAAACACACCTTTGGGCAACATGCTGGTTAAGGCCGAAACCCTCTGCTCCTGATCATAGGCGAGTCCCAAGCTTCCATGTTCCTCTGTGATCATGGAAGATGAAGTTGTAAGCGTGGTTGAGGAACTTTCCATGGTACGGTATAAGGAGATGTCCTTCCGCATTTCTTCTTTCCGCTTCTGCATGTGTGAGAGGAGGGATGTGCTCTTGTCTGCATTCAGGAGACGAGTATCTTGAAGGTCGACCACCAGAGCAGCAGCGGCCTGAGCACGGCCAATGGAGTTCTGCGCACGGCAGGTGTAGGTACCACTGTCCAAGCTCCTAACACTCTGGATCCTCAAGGAGCTGGAGTCATTTTCCGAGATTATCTTGATGCGGTTGGTCTCACCCAGGTAGCGACCATCCTTTTCCCAGTCAAAGTTGGGTGCTGGATGGGCTGCCACCCGACAATAGAAGGTAACGTCACCCCCTAGACCCACACGGGTGGAGACAGGCTTTACTGTAAACACTGGGGCCCGATCAATCACAGTTTCCGGCAGTCCCACCTTCAGGGTCACAGCTGCATATGCCTCTCCGACATTGTTCTTGGCACGACACATGTACTGACCGCTGTCTTCTAGAGTTAGATCGTAGATGGTAAGTCGGTAAACGTCACCATCTTCTACTTTCTTGAAGCGTCCACCTGCAGAGAGAAGCATCTTGCCTTTCTCCCAGGTGACCACAGGAACAGGGTTTCCCACAATAGTGCAGCTGAGGGAGGCATCTCGTCCCACACACAGCGAGAAGGCCTTGGGTCGAGTTAGGAACCGTGGAGCCCCACCAAATAGATTCTGATCCATTCTTGCTTTCTGTAGAGATAAAACAACACACTTTAATAAAAGTTAAAGTTGTGGTCAATGCATAGAGGAGAAACATAAGAACTGAGATTATATAAAAGCTTTACATATTTGCATCTTGTCACTATTAAATCTTGCAACTAATCTCAAGGACGTTTCTGAAAAAGCTGCTTTTCAATTTATCATACTGTAAGTCAGTTTGAATAAAGAGGGTGTGCTAATGACAAATAACCATGTCAAGAAGATCTTGAAATAGACATTTTGAGAAATGAGAGAGGCCTACTTTTAGAGATGCCCACTCAAACCTCTCCAGTATCCCACCACAAATTTGAAATAATGCTAGTTGGTTTAAAGAGTCAAATTTATAAACAAAGTAATAAAACAAGTTTGCCATGTTTGAGAATTAATATTTTTCTATGTAGCAATACACAAGCTGATATGATATAATGTAATATTGTCACACAGCTACACTTTCCTGCATGCAATAAAATAAAACTTAAAAAAAAAAAAGAGCAGGACAAGCCATTGATATCTTTTGTCCATTTTCCAAAAATAGAACAACTGTGAATGTACAGTAAACTGACTAAAAGTTATATTGTCATTGTTTAGGGGGATACTAGTAGCCTATATAAATTACATCAGAGCAAATGGACATGCACTAGAAGCCACAAAACACAGGGTGGTCAAAATTAACATTGTCCACTTTTGACAGAACTTAACATGGAATGTCCAATGTAAAATAACCTAGGAAGCCTTGTATCTAGAAACAATAATCGTATTGACCTCCATCTTTATAACATTAAAGGGGTCATATGATGCGATTTCAATTTTTCCTTTCTCTTTGGAGTGTTACAAGCTCTTGGTGCATAAAGAAGATCTGTAAAGTTGCAAAGACTAAAGTCTCAAATCCAAAGAGATATTCTTTATAAAAGTTAAGAGTCAGCCACGCCTACCTAAAACGGCTCGTTCTAACACGCCCCCACATATCTACCTCACTATGTGGGAAGATTTGCATAACGCCACCATAATGTTCACGCAAAGAAAGAAGGCATAACTTTTATTCTCGCTGTAGTTTTGTTGCCGTTGCCGTCATGTCGTGAAGACGCTGTGTGCTTCGTTGTGAAAGCGAAACTACTTTGTTTGGTCTACCAAAAGAGTATGATAGCTGATCCGTGCTGGTCGCTGAGGAAATACTTCAACTTTGCGCTGTCCATCGCCGGATCGGCTTTCACCGTGGACGAAGTGGAGTCCAGCCCGGGGTCGTCACATGTGGTTGCCGCAGGCATCACAATATGGTAAGAGAAGTAACATTTCTGTCACATGCTTGAGGAATTCGGCCAATCACAACGCACTGGATAGCTGGCCAATCAGAGCACACCTCGCTTTTCCGACCAATGAGCTTTGTAAAAAACCGACACGTTTCAGAAAGGCGGGGCATAGAGGAGAAACAATAATGTACAGTATGTGGAAAATAATGTGTTTTTTTAACCTTAAACCGCATAAACATTTCATTACACCAAAGAATGTTCTTTTTAGCAGCATCATATGACCCTTTTAATAGGTCATCAACTTGAATCTACTATCGCCAACAGAACAGTGGATGATCTAGTGAAATCTCACCACAGAAAGTCAGTTTTACTGATGAGGTAGAATTCCAGTGTAACAAAGTTAAACAAAAGGATGTTGGTCTTTGAAAAGCATGACATTTGCCATCTCTGACACCTCACTCCCCTGAGCTGCCTATCCCAAAAATAACCTCAGCTGTCGGACTCCGTCTGCACTATGTCCATTTGTAGAAGAGATTTGACCTGCTGTGCGATATATATGTTTTTGTCAATGGCATATTTCTAAACTTGTAAATTTCGTTTCAAAGAGCAGCAGACGTTTTCGCCTGCGTGGATCTCTCCTTGCGAGAAAAAAAAATGAAATCGTTTTCATAATTAAAAACAACGTTAAAATTTAAACTGAGCAACAAAATAATAAAGTAACGTAATCAGTTCAAACTTGTTGAATTTGCGACATATGTAATAAAATAACATAGAAACATTGAAAAGGCGAGAGAAAAGTATTCCCTCAGTTATTGAAAGTTTCACTTTTTAATATTTTATAACGATTAAAAAAAAAACCGCCTCTTACCTTTTTCCCGTCAAGCTACTGATATAAACCGATGCAGATGTTCATAAATATCCGATGTTGGCATGTGAAGATATCCTCGTGAAAACAGGTAAATTCCGTGAACTGTAGAGGGGGAGGACAGTGTGTTTTATCCCCCAGTGTCTTTGCTTTCTGTGTGACGCTCCTGTATCGGTCCAACCTCCCGTTGAAAATAGATCCGTCACTTACCGGAGCAAATGTCGGACCGAGGTGAAGTGACTCTTATTGTTGAACAGCCGCTTCACCTCAACCTGTATGGCAAACCGTTTTAGCAGTTTAGGCAGTTTCTCCAAATTAAGCCCTTGAAGTTTCTACAAAGCTATTGCTTTATTTACTTAATGCAGTAACAAATTGCACATTATTGTTATTATATTCTATGAACTCAAGATATCTGTTGCAGTAGATAGGCTACTTGCATGATGATTTTAAATTACATTGCATTACATTAAATATGACAAATTAAATTGTATTGCCTATTGTTATTTTTTTTTACATTTAAAAACATAGACAAAGAAAAACACAGCTACTGTATATGCTGTTAATACCATGTTTCAAAATACTGACATAGGTTTGGGTTTGTGGCATTTTACCAAAAGGATTAACATCCTTTTCCTTTATGAACTTTATATTTGAACAATCCTGCAAGTGTGTGAATTTAAGCAGTTGGTTTAAATGTTAAGATTCAATACACCTAGGTAGCTACAGTAAGGATATTTTATTTGGTTTAGTTATTCCTCTCCTGATTGTCTCATATTTTCCTGAATGACTAGTGGGTCTTTCCCGTGCCTGTTGATTGACAGCAGCAGATCGGCCAGGCTCACATTTAAAACGGTCTGAAACTCGAGCAGTGGGATCAGTCAAACTCTTTGGTGGGAGGGATAATTTTGATGCTTTAGTTTGCAAATGTGCAACTTTCACAATCCTGCCTGGTTTTAATGTAACACAAATGCTCAGCGCTTGTACTGCAATGCTAACATAAATGTCTGGTTATGCAAATTATCCATGTTTTCTTCTTTTAAGAACTAGTTTAAACTAACTACTATAAGTGTTCCTTGCATGGCAACAGATAAACTGCAGATACACCGCTAACTCTTTGAGATAGAGTTCACTGTGGCCAGAGGTAGTATATGCATGCCATATATATATATACACAGAATACTATAAATACAAAACACAGATCAGATCAAGTTGTTTCTAAACATAAAGAGAGAAAGTTTGCTAATTTTAACTTGGAGCTAAATATACTGTATTCTAGCATGGAGATATTGTGGTATTTGAGGCTGTACATTTTTCACAATCTACTGTATTTCCTCCAGACCGATCACACCTTTCCTTATAGATGTGCTAAATACTTTTGTCTTCTTTTTCTCAAATACATTTAAAATAATGCATTTGAGAAAAAGTATTTATTGCTCAAATTCATTAATAGAGTATGTATTAGGAATAGAGAATGAGTTATTTTAATTCTGAGCTTAATTAAACTCTTACAAAATTATTAATGGAGTTGAATTGTGAGATGACCACATATGACCAAAAAGACCATTTTGACATTTGCTTGGACATTGATAGTTTAATATCAGCAAAGTTAATAAAATATTTAATATTTATAATATATATATTTGAAATATGTTCTATAGGCACTTTATCCAAAATTATTCTTGAAATACTCTTACATGTCCTTCATTATAAAAATCCCTTTTTTGTGCAAACAACCAATAAAGGTTGAATGAAGCAGCATATACTTGCATAATAATAAAGGCATATAGCAATATGAAAAGTATGTTGAGACAAACAGCATCAAAAAGACTCATACTGCTTAGTATCAAGAACTTCAGTAAATCGCAGTATACTGTCAAGTAAACAAGATATCTCCAGAGTCTCAAGACTGAATGCACCCATAACTACAAAACGGACTGATATTTTCTCATTATAGTGGGTTTGAAGTTTGAAGGTTCATGCCTCTTTAAGTTTGGTGAGCTCCCATTGGCCACCTCCGCACAGTTGCAGCATGATATCATGATGCTGTTTAAAGAACACAAAAAAAAGAATTCTAAGGACAGGCCATACAATAATGTTTGCCATGTTGTTTTAGTGAATGTGAAAAGGTCATAGATCATCACCTTTTTCAGAGTGCTACGGTGACCCAGACTGATGAGGGTCATTCCCAGCTGTTTACAGGCCTTATAGAGCTGACCCTCGGCCTCCTCCGTCAGAGCGCTAGTGGCCTCATCCAGTACTGAAACAAACCGCATGTCTTACTCTTGACACAGGACATAAATGGGATCATCTGACTGATTGTAGTAATTAAAGCTACAGGAAATTTGATGAAACTATGCAGAAACTGACCTGCATATTTGGGCTGCAGGTAAAATAGCCTAGCAAAACAAAGCCTCTGCATTTCTCCTGGCGATAAAACATCATCCCTGTGAAAAACAAGGGCATTCCATTTTTGTATGTTCTTAAAAAAATCCTAATTTTTATCTCTAGATATTAATACTCATTTCTCACCAGTTCCAGTCTACTTTTGTATCCAGTCCTCCTATTCTGGTCAGAAGATTCGACTGACATACAAAATACACAAAGACATGCTGCTTACAGAACATTCACAGCAACCATATTTTAAAATCAATAATAGCAGACATTACAATATCAGTTAAGTCTTACCAAACCAACAAGTTCCAGGTACTTTAGTATTCGTTCATCATCTATAGACCCTAAAATAATTGATATTAGTTAAAAGTGCAAAAAGTCATCATAATCTATGTTTACACCACCAGAAGTGTGTTGTATAATTGGCACAACGTTTTCAAGATCTTGACATTTTTGCAAGTTTGCATTGGCAAAAAAGTCAAGTTTAGTTTTGTAACACATTGCATACACAATTGTACTACAGTTGTAACTAAGTACACTATATTTGAGCTATATTAATATATTATTTAAATAATGCATATCATTAAGTTTCTGGAATTAGGTTAATCTGTACCTGAGGAAGGATATATATCCTTTAATGGATAGATAACCTAAAGGGAAAACCAGCAAATCAGTGTGTATAAACATATATATGTACAGTTTTTGTTAAAAATAATAAAAATGAGTTTTTATTAATACAACTTTATTATATGTAGAGTAGGTTTTTTCAAATGGTTTTCTCTTTTCTCACCTGCTCTCTGAGAGTGCCATCAGTAAGATATGCTTTCTGTGGCAGGAAAAGCACACCCCTCGGTCCAAAACATGTGGTCATCTCCACAGAACCTGAGCAAAAGGAAAGCAGTATGTTTTAACAAATCAGATGTTTTTTTTCTGCATCTGATCATTTTATTGTCTGTCATCTCTGAAGCTTACCATTGCATGGTTCCCACAAACCATTGAGGACCCGGAGCAGGGAGGTCTTCCCTGTTCCCGTGTTTCCCACCACAAGCATGTGCGTTCCTTGACTGATCTTAAGGGTCAGATCCTTCACAAGCAGCTCTTCTGAGACGGGTGATTTATAGGAGAGACGATCCAGCACAAATGCCATGTCTGCTGGGACACTGTGAAGCTCCCGATCACTGATAGAGATTTATTATTGTTACAAATATTACCAACAATGATAATCGTAATAATAAAGCTTTATCATGTCAATCTTTACTGTGCATCAGGGTTACCATTATATAAAAGCATTTAAAAAATAATTACTTGAAATAAACATTAACTTAAGTAAAATTACATATATATATATATATGTATGTATGTATGTATATATATATATATATATATATATATATATATAAAACCCTTAAACTTATTTTATTTCCTATAGTTGCTAATGCAACTATTTCCCATTTTCAGTTAAATTTCAATTACTAAAATAATTAAAACTAAATAAAAACTATAAAGATAAAAATGACAAAAAAGCACAACAAAATTACTAAAACTTTAACTAAAATTAAAATAGAAAGCGAATGTATAAAAATAAACCTAATTTAAAATATTAACAAAAACTATAATAGTATATCATTGATACTAATTTAGTATCAATGATATACTATTATAGTTTTTGTTAATATTTTGAAATATTTTGGGGTTTTACTGAAACAACACTACTGTGTATTCAGGACTACTAGAAACACTTTTAGATCTATATTAGATCTTGAGTTCGAGTCTTGACATAATGTGAACCAATATTGTTTGTTGGTACTTGCATCCAAAATTAATTTCAATTAGTTTTAAATTACCTGTAAGGTTCATCCTTTGAAAGTGGATCATACTGACCCTGGTCACACTGTTTCTTGGCAATGTCTGCCATCACTTCCCGCAGTTCTCCAATCCTGGAACCAAAAGAATAACCAACAATCATAATAACACTGACGCACAATAAAATATGTGCTTTTAAGCAGTCTTAGAGCATCTCACCGGTGCGTGTATCCAGCGACATCAGACACTGTGGTTGAGAGATCTATGAGCTGCGTGAAGCAGTTTATCAGATAGATGCAGACGAAAGCGTTCTGAAAGAGACATGTGATTAACATCCTATTGTGTACAACAGAGACTCACTCAGAGCAGAAACACTTGTGTTTGTCTTAAAGTCCACCACATTAAATACAGTTTGAAGTGACTCACCTTACTGACAAGAGCACTCAGTTCTCCAGGTGTCAGGCCGTCGTAATCTCCAGCAAAGATGGGGATCGCGATGACTATATAGCTGAGGATACTGCCCAGGTAGTCAAAGGTGTTTACTCCAACTGAAATGAAAAGAAGCAAAACAATATGCATTTGTAGTGAACAGAACAGAAGGACTGCAAAATGACACATTTTAAAGTCAAAGTCACCATGAAATCAAAATTGACAATTCAAATCATAATAGGGAAGACGATCGCAACTTGTTTCATGCCAACTTTAGATGCATGAAATGAGCTTTCTCCTCTGCCACTGTATATTTTCAGTAACAATAGTGAGGAATATTGAACACTTTATTTCACTAAAATTGTATATATCTTCAGAATGGCAATTTAATTCAGGAGTCCTTACTGTAAAGCCATAGCTCTTTGTTCATCAAGCTTCTCTGAGTGGATAAGAGCATCTGCAGCCTTCTGTCGGTCCGCATGTGTTCCACCTTACCTGCCCTGAGCAAAAACACAAC